AATGAATTCTAAATTTTGCCTGGAAGTCAGTTTCATGTAGTTGGTTGAGGCATCAAGCCTTACTGGAAGACTATAAGCTCCAGGCCCACCGTAGGAGTGATCTTGGGCCAGTCATTCTCTCTCATCCCTAGAATTAAAAAGCTCTCTCTCGCGCCCCTCTGAATTTTTTGCATCACCCCATCACATTTTCCCCACATTTTTTCTCATACTATTCAATTCTACCTAAAATTGCTTTGAATATATTAAAATATACTTTTCAAATTCCAAAGTATTCAAGTATAGAATGAGTTTCCTTTCTAGGATCAAATCCTAAAATTAGACTCAAGTCCATACTGATGGGCTGTAGCTGTTCATCGTAATATATCACAATGGATGAGCAGAAATTATCACTGGACTAATTTGCATCGATTCCCTCATCAGTATTTCTGGCAGAGTGCAGACTCCACAAATTGATAGGACAGCTGGAACAAATTCATTTATGTTCTTTGTAGTACAGTATTATCAACTAATATGACTCTTATTTTTCTTCTTGTATTCTTTCTGATCTTTAGGAATTCATCTTCTTGGCTCTGCTGTTCAGCAGTTTTGCTTTTTCTTCCACATGTAAAGTCTAAGAGTGGTTCATTCATTCCAACTGCACAGAATTTAAAACTTGAAATTTTTAGTTCAATCCAGACAACTTTGCTCAGAAATAAGCCTCATTATAAATGGCATATGGCCAGAATCAGGGGTGGGTTGCTACTGGTTCTGCCCGGTTCTATAGAACCGGTAGCTCTGAAGAGCAGCAGACACCAAACCGGTTCTGTGTTGCCTCTGTTTGGCCTACCCACCTGCCCGGGCTCTTACCTGTCTTTTATTTCCTGCTTTTTCAACCTCAACTGCTTTGCGCAGCACAGCTGAGGTTGAAAAAGTAGGAAAAAAGTGGCTTTTCAAATGCTACACACCTACGTGCAGCGCTTTTCAGCTGTCCAGGCAGCACAGCCTAAGGTTATTTTACATGTGCGCAAAACATAATCACCAAACCGGTAGTAACACCAGTTGAATCCCACCCCTGACCAGAATATGTGAAAGGACACCTCACTGTATGTATATGTGTACATCTGTGTACACAAATCTGTGTGTGTGTATACATTTATATTTACATATATTTACAATTATATTTACCATATATTTACCTCTCTTTCTAAGGGGACTAGATTAACATTCTTTTTATCTATTTACAGCTGTATTCTCTTTTAGTTTTCTTTTGATTTGATTGTGTGCAGAAACACTCCTGCTTTCTGATTGGACTAACAAATTACCACTTTGATAAATGATGCTAAAAATGTTGAAGATGCACCTCCACATAGGTCTGATTGTATGCATCTAGTTACTGAATTTAAAAAAATGATATGGCAATATGGCTTTATATTTCTTTGGAGCTGTACATTATTGTAGCATGTGGCTTTTATTAGCTATGTGTAGGAAAATAATGAAACATGCATTACCTTCGAACCCTGCCTAGAGTTTTGTTTTGTTTTGTTGTTTGTTTGGGTTGTTTTTGTCCCCCCCCCCCCCCAGTTATAACATGAACAGTGAAATCCATGCAGGAATTACAATGATGTCTAACATACGTTGAACTGCCATCAGCAATCAACAATGGTTTGAGTAACAATACTTCTACCAATAGTAGAGCATTCCATGAATGGGGTTCCATGGCAAAATTATTTCTAATCTAATCTAATCTAATCTAATCTAATCTAATCTAATCTAAGGTTCTTTTGTGCCATCCTACAAGTCTGAGAGGACTCTGACCTTCGAATGAAATCTGATTTCTCACCTCTTTGTTGATTTCCAGAGCTGGATGGTACTAAGGATATAAAATCCTAGTTTAAACACTATAGCACCCACAGAGACCCAGCACATAATTTAAGATAAGCAATGTTATGCAAACTATAGAAAAAGAGTAAGTAATAGTAAATCAAATTAAAGGCACAAGCTAAGAAAAAGAAAAGAAAATCTGAATTTAGTTAATCCCAGCAGCATTTTCTATATCACTCCATATGTTTCTATCCTTTCAGAGCATTCCTGTTTCTACTACATCAATACACCACTTCATACATCATGTTTTGTTCTTTCAAGCTTCTCATTCAGCACTTATTCATTCTTGATCTGATCTCTTCTTTTACCAGTCACACATCTTAAGCAACCCATTCCCATTACATCCAATTTATATTTATAGTTCTGCTAACATATCCACCTCCTACATTCATATACCCAAATGGGCAGAAACATGTTCTTATACATAGCCATTTTAGCTTTTGGTCACAAATATTAATTCTTCAACTACGTATTATCCATTATCTTTCTACTGGCATTTATAACCTCAAATTTCTCCATCTTTTTCTCCAGTCTTAGTGAACATTTTACTAAGATTCATAAATTCATCTATTGGCTCTAACTTTTTTATTGTGCAATCGTTCATTCTATTTTATTTGGTCTTTGATACACAAATGTTCAGATTCATAATCCTTATTGCAACTACAATCTGACTAATATTTACTGCAAATTAATTTGATCTTAGCCAGTAACAGATCATCTGCATATAAAAATGCAGACACATTACTACATCTGTAACATATTGCTCTTATTACAAATATTCCTTATACATTTATCAATAAATACATTAAAAACCAAGGATATATTGTTTTACTGTCTGCTTTTACTTGTTGGATCATTCAGCAAACATTACATTTATTCTCATGCCAACTTTATTCCCCTCATATATCAATCTTACTGCATCAGCAATCTCTCTTTGATTTCAGATATGTGCAAAACAACCTATTATTCAAGCCTACCCACTTTATCATAAATTTGTCTAAATCAATGTAGATTAAATTTTCTTTCTCTTGTTCGCTCATTTGATCATGCGTTTGTGAAGAGGAAAAATCTTGTTTGTATACCGGTAGTCCTGTTCATAACAGCACAGTGTACTTCCACAGTTGGCTCTCTGCTACCTATTCTATGCTTTCAAACTACTGAAGCATGTTGAACAAACTAATCTCCCTAAAAAATTACATTCATCCTTGCTACTTTTTTCCTTTGTGTAGAGAACCAATAATAGCATTTTTCAATCTTTAGGCATAGATGGGATTTTCAAGTTGCACAGCCACTCCATGCAAATTTACTTTTATGCACATCAAACTACCGTAAATAAAATGTACATCCATACACTGACCATAAAAGTATCATTCAATAATAATAATAACAACAACAACAATAATAATAACAATTCTTGCTGCTTCAAGAAGAATGCACAGACTGACTATAAACAATGGCATGACAAAGTAGCAATAATGGTGCATTGGAGTATCTGCAAGAAATATTATTTGCTTGCAAACAAGAACTGGTGGGATTACAAAATACAAAGTAATAGAAAAGGAAAAGTTAAAGGGTCTGGGCCTCTAGAATTCAAACAGACAAGCAGCTGCCATATAACATTTCAGACTTAATAATTGTTGATAAAAAAGATAAAAAAGGTCTGGATAGCAGGTGTGGCAGTACCTGAATACAGTGAAATAGAAGAGAAAGACCTGGAGAAAATAGCAAAATAAAAATATCTGCAAATTGAAGTAGAACAACCATTGAAAAAGAAGCAAAGACAGTAACAATAATAAGAGGAGCCTTAGGTTCAATCCCAAAACTTTTGGAGTACCATTTGAATACCACCAACATTGGCAAAATCATAATCACTCAATTGCAAAAGACAGCCTTGTTTGGAATGCCTTGCATCCTGCAACAATAGATGTCCATGCTGGAAGTAAATGACTTTATTAGTTTTAACAATAGGTTACTCAGATAACAGATAACAGATAATCAGAGTTGGAAGGGACCTAGTAGGTCATCTGGTGCAACCCCCCCCCGCTCAAGCAGGAGCCCCTACGCTGTTTCTGACAAATGGCAGTCCAATTTCTTCTTGAAAGTCTCACTCATACTGGATTTACTTCCAGCATGGATATTATAAATGCTTTTTGTGTATGCCTTTAAAACATGCAAGTGAGGTTGCAACTGACAAAAAGGAGCAAATGACTTCTAGCATGACTTCTAGCTATACTAAGGGCACCAATATATTAAAGTAATATCAAATACACACATTTTCATATGTATACATTCAAACACATATATTTGAAAGAGAATGGGGGCAATAACTCTCTTAAAAGGCAGGTCACTGTCCAATATTGTACTATAATGTAGATGTAAAGAACTTCACCAGGCCTAGAATTAATGGACTGCACATGGGAGAAATTAAGGCTGTCCTATGACATAAATATATATTTTCTGTTTTCTATTACATTATATCCATCTTATTTGGAGGCAGCAGAGCTGAATTTAAAAGCTTCATTTTGCTACATATTTTAGGAGTTCCTGATTATGTAGTGAGTTTTATTTTGTCTATAATTAATCCAATTTTGCTTCAAAGCTATTGCCCCTTGGTCACCAGCACTGCATTGCAACTAGAAGCTGTAATTATTACAATTAATTACCAGATTATATCAGATAATCTTTGACATGCCTGAATTGTCAATTTTGTGGAGACATCAGATTGACCATTGCTGGGTGTGTGTGTGTGTGTGAAAGACAGATATTTAGGTTGATGCTGAGCAAAATGCTGGTTTTATTTAATTTTATACTCATTTTTGTACAAAGGGTGCAGAACAAAATAAAAGCATAAAAACAATGGACCAATACAAATCAATGTATTCCAGGATGGAACCTTTAAAGAAATTTGGTCAGCTGTACTTTGTTTCCTGTTCAGTGATCAAGTAATTTTGGGAAATGAATTGCAGCAGCCTGATGTTCTTCAGTACACAGAGAGGCGGGGTATGATGGATTCCTTGTCTTTTGGCTTAGTAAGAAAAATCTTTTCTGGCCAACATAGAAGTGAAGAAGAGGAGGTCATGTTTTTTAAAAAGAAGATACAGATCACTGAGAATAAAACAACAAAAAGAATAGTTCCCTACCCATTACTTCCCACTGTGTGAACTTTTGACATATCCGCAAATTCTTCCTTTCGATTGCTGCCACTGTTGTACTGCTCACTGTATAGTTTTAAGGACATCTGCTCAACAGCATCTCTTTGTGCTTCCAGAAAGCATAACTGAACCTCTGCCTAGAAAAAGGAAACGAGAAGGAATGAAGTCTTGTTTTAATTCATAACAAATGCTTATATAAAGTTGCCATTTATAGACTAAACGAATAACACAGCCAGAATTCATTTACAATTTTACTAAGCATTACCGTAATAATTATTGTATTGATTTTTAATGACGCTGCTGTCTTTATAGAAGTACTGGAGTAGGGGGAGATTATGAACCATGCCTCCTCCCATTAGTCTTTTAGAGGAATTTTTCTTTCTTGATTACCTGTCTTAGCAATGTTCATTTACTGCAAATCAATGTTTTTCCTAGGACCAATGATATTATCAAGCAACTCTGCTACACAAATCATGGGGAAAAGAGAAATAATTTCGACTTCTGAAGAGATTTACAAAACAGCAAGCATTATCTCAAAATATTTTGCTGTACACTTTGTCCATGCAGCAAGTTAAGAACACACAGCTATTTGGTCATATTGCAGTTTTATCCTTTCTGTGTCAGTTCTAACAAGAAACAAATTAGGGCCTTCTTGTTAACAAAAAGCACCTTCCACTCGAACTTGGCAATCTTGTATGTATTTGTGCCCACTCACTGATTGCTGAGCCAGTTCTCTCAGCCTTTGTCTAAATTCATGTGCTGGGATCCACAGCTTTCCTTCATGTGGAAGTTTTGATGCCAACTGAATATATAATGTGTATAGTTTGGATTTGGCTTAGCACTGGTGAGTGAATCCAACTTTTGTGACTTATTGATCATGGTATATTCTTCAACAGGATTTTTCAACTGATGTCAGAGGGAATTGTCTAGAGACTTGTGAAACAATCCTCTCAGCTGAAGTGAACATGGAAGTTCAGTGAAAACTATCTCTGAATATATTTTATTATTTGTATCCCACCTTTATTATTTTTATAAATAACTCAAGGTGGCAAACATATCCAACACACTTTCTCCTCCTATTTTCCCCACAAAAACAATACGGTGAGGTGGATTGTGCTGAGAAAGAGTGACTGGCTCAAAGTCATCCAGCAGGCTTTCACTGCTTAGGTGAGATTTGAACACACAGCTTCCCACTTTCTAGCCTGGTACTTTAACCAGTAGACTACCCTCTCCCCCCTGTCCCCCTCCCTCTCCTCCCTCCCTCCCTCCCTCCCTCCCCCCTCTCTCTACCCACCCACCCACCCACAGATGGACAATAATTCTATGAAAGCTATTTGTTGATATTCTATTATAATATTTTATATTATTTTGTTATTGACTATCAACTTGGAAACACATGTTTGTGTGCCTATGTGAAAATCTCTTCCTAACCTTAATGGCTTCTTCTTCTGTTATTTCCACTACAGTTCTGTAAATGCCAGCACATGGATTACAGAATTATTTGTGTTGAATTCCCCAGAATTATTCATTTATCCACGGGATCATGTTCTACTTAGTAGCTTCATATGCCAATCTTGCATCTCTGTTGTTTGTTTTATTTATAAGGTAAATACAACAGCAGAGAGGTCTCATTGGACCAATCAGCTTTCTAAAGACTTCCCAGTAACCTTAACTTTAAACAAAATGAAATACATTTATCCAGGTGTTTTCTTTTAGACCATTTCCTGATCAAACTAATATAGAATTCTCTTTGACTTTAGAATGTAGCTACATTATGTATTGCAGCTGTGCTGATGCATTGGATTCTGGAGCTCAGCACAGGAGAGGATATGGAGATACATTTGGCTGTTTGCCGTGTTTATCCCTGGGTAGCTGGAAAAGTACAGAGGCAAGGTTGAGTTCAAGAGCACTTGGGGGCCAATATGGCATTGTTTTCATACAACTTGCTCCACTAAAATCCTAACGTGCTGATTATAATTACAATGAGCTTCATAAAGAAGCATCAATTTTCAACTTAATTTGGTCTTCCCACATAAAGTATCTATTTCCTAAGAAGGAAGAATTCTATATATAGTTTATAAATGTTACATAATTTGATGTTTCACTTGCTGCAAAAAACGTTAGAGGGGGGACGATTTCTATAGATATTATTATTATTATTATTATTATTATTATTATTATTATTATCAATCTTCCAGATGTTCAGACTGGGTTTGGCATTTTTGTCTACCTATCCAAGGACCTGGGATAGGCAGATGTTTGATGGTATTGCATATATCATCGTTGGATGAAAGCTGTTTGTTTTTAATCACTGCATATTTGTGATCAATCACAACCTTTTCTTCTAGGAGTTCTTCAACTGCTAGCCCTGGTTGCTCAGCTAACAGTCCTGAGTCCTGTAGCCCATTGTTCATCAGATATACAGGAACTCCAATATCTGGCATGGACCTTGTTAACCCGAGCCAGAATGTCCAAGCCAGTATGGCTTTCTGAAGTTTATGTCTCTCCATATTTTTAATGAGAGAGAGAGAGAATCCCTTTGTCTGACTCCTCTGATGAGACCTGTCCAGAACCTCTGGCATAGCTCTCATCTTCCCCAGAGCACGACCCCACAAGCACGTTAAGGCAGTGCTTCAATGGGGTTTAGTTTTAGTATAGTTTATTTTATTATCATTGCACCTCATACAATGAAATCAAACACCATCTTCAGTAAACATCATGACCATGAAAATAAACACAAACACACATTCTTCACACTCTACACATTGAACTGAACCACCCCCGACACCGCACCAACATTGCAATATACAGTAGTATAGAGTTGTTGTTGTTGTTGTTATCATCATCATCATCATCATCATCATCATCATCATCATCATATCTTCATCATCATTATGCATATAATGAGGATTGCTGTATGTATGTAAACATATGCACACAATCCACATAATTATATCCAAAATGTCTGTGGGAGTATGGCAGTGACCTAACTGATGGAATTCAGCAATCCATTCAATTGCTTCTGATGTTATTTTGTGCACATCTTCTAGTGAATCAGAGAAGGCATATCGTGGGCAATCTTGCACACTATGTTTAATAGTTTGCATATCAACACCACGATCAAACAAGGGGAATCTTTCCTTCCCCACTGATACAGGGCAGATAGACTATGGCAAGTGTTTATTTGATGTACAGAGAAATGCTGTGGTAGTTAAAAGTACAGAAAGACTTATTTCCACAAAATACATAGTGATAGCTATTATTGGCATTCTTAGGAATAGATGGAGAAGGAATCTCAGCCAGTTGCTGCCAGTCACTGCAGAGCAGGATCTTCTTCAGGTTTTCTAGCTGAAAGCTTGTGGGCACGTTTGGAATTTTGACATGTTGAGGCTTTGACAATTTGTACTGTCACAAAATGGGTGTGTGGGCTGGATTTTCGAAGTACAAAATAGCTGTCAGAGGAATGTAGCTGGATAGACACAAAGCACTGGTAGAGCTATCAGCTCTAACGCCCACTCTTGAAAGACACAGTCAACTCCTAAGCTCCCATTTTACATTTTTGTAGGCAGCCAAATACTGTACACATCCAAACAAAGCATTGGCTGCAGCCACTCTTCAGAGTTTTTTTTTCCTGAAGAAATGTATGGAGCTTGTGACTCACAGATGTCAGTAAGTCTTTTTTGTGTTATTCAAAATTTCCTGTTGTTGTTGTTGAGGAGGAGCATTTCCAATAAAACATCCACAATAGTAGTTATGTACACTGCAAAAAAACCCACCAAGAATGATATCTGGTTTTTCATAAATTATCAGTTCCGTCCAAGGTCATTCTGGGGGCAATCTGTTCTGGTTTCTTTCCCAGTTTTGAAGTATGATTTAAGTAGATGGGATTTTATCCTCCCACTATCCTAGAAACAACTCACAAGGCTAGACTGTATTTACCAAGTTGCAGCAACATTAGACAGTTAGGAAAGAATGAGCAAGGTTTTGAAAAATGAACCATTTAAAATCAATGTTTTCAAGTACAATGCCCAAAGTATGATGAAATTTATAGCCAAGACCACCCCAGGATGCCACCTTTTACTATAGTAATTCTTCTAAAGGAAGCGACAGGTAGTCATTAGGAATTACAGTACTCTTTCCAGAATACAGTGCAGCTCATTGTCAGCATTCAAGCAGCAAGATACGTGATTTAACTCACAGGTCTTTTCCATAAAATCAAAATCAATAACCTATTAAATCAATTTTACAAAGCACCAAAAGGCAAGACAAGAAACAATACTGGAAATTAAGACAGAAGCAACCTGGAATGAAGGAGAAATTTCCTAATGGTGAGAGCAATCAAGCAACAGAATAGCTTGTCTTCGGAAGTTGTGGGTGCTTCAATCCTGGAAATTTTTAAGAAGAAATTGGACATCCATTTATCTGAAATAGCATAAGGTCTCCTGCTGGAGAAGAGAGTTGGACTGGAAGACCTCCAGGGTCTCTTCCAACTCTATTATTCTATGTTTTGTGTTCAATTAATATAAATATAAACATGTTTATATGCATATATATTAGGAAGCTGGGTTTCATCTGGGTGCCTGGTTGGGGTGTGTTTGAAACCTAGCTTCCTAATAAATGATAGCCATCCATTTACTCGGAGCCAAGCTGCACTATAAGCCTCCAATACAGGAACACAATGTTGGCAGCCAATCAAGACAATAAAACCACAAAACAGACAGAAGATATTAGGAACACCACTCAAGCAGAATACAGCAAACTCCAAGACCAATAAACACAGACCAAGACTCCCAACCAATCAGAATTAAGAAAAAACCATTCTAACATAGCAGTAGGCTAGCCCCAAATTTAAAACAGAAACAGCTGTGAAAGTCTGACTCACAGACAAACACAATACAGAAACCTGATGATGGCGGATGAGATTCTGCCGAAAGGTTGCGACAACTTTAAAAGCACAACTATGACGTGGGAAAATACCCAACAAAGCTGAATACCATACATATAAATACCCACAAAAACTTAAGAAAACACACACACACACACACACATATATATGATAAATAAATCACAAAAGTCAAGCCTTAGGATGAGTGTCAAATTAATTATTAGAAGGTATGGAAAAATAAAGGATTCTTCT